CTTGTTGCAGGGCACTACTGCTTAGTTCCTGATTCAAAGTTTAATGAAACAGTCTTTCAGAACATTCCTTTTAGTTCCCTATTTGTAAACAGTGCAGTATTTTCTCTCAATACTATAAAAATATGTTCAAAATACATAATAAAAATATTTATGAATATTAAAAAATATATAAAAAACCTATCAAAATTATTGGAATCAACAGAAAAAGAGCAATTCCACACCTTGTAATTTTTCAAAAAGCTCTTTCAGAAGGATTTTTTTTTTGGAGATGGAGAGAAAAATGTGGTGTTTTTTAAACTGAAATCAGTACCACTCTCCCCATCCAATTGTCATTTATTTTTAGTGCTCTGAACTGGGGTAATGGGGGCCAGACTTTGAAACAGACTCACAAAGCATTTGGCTGCTTTCAGAACAAGGCAGGAGGGTTTACCAGGAGACTGTGGCTGAGGGAATAATGCCAATGACATTAAGATTCCCTGTATTTTTTGCCTACTTCAGTGAGGGGATATAAAAAAGCAGAGTTGTCCACTTTGAAAAGCCTGTTCATTGTCACTTTTTCCTTAGCACTGCAGGGCTACTGTTTTTCCCTAAGGCTGCCTCCCCCCAGGCCAAACAAGCCCAGTTCCCTCAGCCTCTCCTCACATAGCCAGAGCTGGCACTTCTGCTGGTTCTCCACTGAATTCACTCCAGTTTATGGAAATACTCCTTGTATTTAGGGTCCCAAAGCAGGCACAATGTTTTAAATGTGCTCTAATAAACTATGGCTCAGGATAGAGGTTAAGATGCTTTCTGAAAACAAGTGGTTCAGTCAGACCACTTTTGTCAACTGAATGAGTGGTTCAGACCACTCATGCCAAAAGGATTTTTGTCTTATAGCTGCACTAAGTGGTGCTATTTGAGTGAGCAGAGCACTTTCTTTCCTTTCCTTCTTTCTTCTTTTGTTGAGGATGTTTGAATATGTTCTGAGAGCACTTCCTCAGCAAAGCGGCAGAAAGAAGTTGGAAGCCACGCATGCTTCTCCAAGACCTGAAGGGAAACTCTCAGGTGTGCTCTGAGCAGCAAGGGGATATGCAGACCTGTTTTCCTGCTCAGGCTCCCTGGGGTGGTCAGACTGTGCTGTGCAGAGCTGTTTTCGTGCTTGGGCTCCCCAGGCTGCTGAGGGGCACCAGAGGGATGTGCAGAAGCTCAGCAGAGGCTCATGGTGAGCATGACCAGCTCTTCACTAGCCACTTGCGGGAGCACAGGCTGCCTTGGTGTTGCAATCAAGAAGGTCAATGTTCCCCTTTCCAAGAGTGGCCCCAGCTGACCCAAGGGAGGCTCCAAGAGCTGGAAATTCTAGGTTCTCCCAGATGCATGCCAGGCCTGTTGGACAAAGCTGAAAAATGGGGCATTTTGCAGACCACCAATGTCTGATTCCAAGCATCACATGCTTCTCAGACCAAGAACTTTGGTTTCAGTCTTTTCCTGAGTATTCCAATATAAAGCACAAAAATCTGATGTTTTTAATTAGAAGATGCCAAAAGCCTAGGTCACATATTCTGTAAGATTTATATGGAGGCTGTTTTCAGCTATTTCATAAAAGCATATTCCAATGCAATGGCTTGTAATCAGCACTAGGACTTCAGGATGTTTTGTTCACTGTGATCTGATTAACACATTTTAGGGGCAGACTGGCATTGATAGAGTGATTATACCAAGCCATACAGCAGTTTTGGAAAGCCCAACTCACTCATCTGTGATTTTATCTCATTATGATAGCTTTATAAATTATATTTTAAAAATAAATTTCCAACTTGACAGTATTGAAATTTCTTTATTTACCAGTGTAGTAGATTTCATAATTTTCTTTTCCTGGCTTCACTGCTTCATATTGCATTCCATTGCCACAGTGAAATACATGCAGGGAAAAAACTGGCTTCCTGTCTTAAGAAGGCAAAGAAGGTGTCTGAAACAACAGCATAACAAATGACACACCACAATTTTTATTTCATTATTTTGTTGCTTGTGAAATGGCCAGCCATGAAGTACTACCTGCTGCTGAATCACTGGGATGTATTCCAGAGTTTGGAAATAATTTTTTGCTTCTTTGTAGAATATTTGTTTTTACACTGGGGCCCAGTACATGTACTGAAATATGGTTTAGAGGAATAGACATGTGTCTGTGTCCCTAAGCTGAATTGAAATTGGGTGACAATTAAGATAACCAAGTACTGTTTAAATCTCAGGAACAACCAAGCTGAGACTGTAAGTCTCATCCTTCAAAACAACACTTGATGTGTTTATGTGTCAAAATTTAAGGAAATGGTGGTAAGTGAGGGTTTGAGGACATCACCAAGCTGTCTGCACTTGCATTATCATATGTTTCAGAATGTATAAGAAAAAATAAAAGTTACTGAGTACTTTGTGTAGACATCCACAGTTGGACATCTGAATTTTCAGTATTTTCCTTGGAAGCACTTGAGTCCAGTTGCAGGAGCCTTGAATTGTGGAATTTATGAAATGTTGTGTTTTCAGAAAGCATTTTCTTTGAAAAATATAACTACCTAATGAAGTAATTACACTGGCTACACATTGTTGTGCTCTGTGTGTGTCATGCCCCAAAATGTTTTGGTTTGCTCTGTCAAAGTGTCCTTGCTTTAGTTAAACATGAGGATTACTCACTCATTGGGGTGCACCTAGGGCATCCCACATGATGCAGTTCAGGGTTGCAAAACAGAAACAGTGTGGAACAGTTCTCCACAAAGTGTCAGATATCCATCCTGTAGATTTGGCCATGCAAGGTCTCTCAAAACCGGGTTTTGTTTCCTATAAAATGCCAGCTGCAGGTGGCTGTAATGAGGGCAGGGGCTTGGCAAACTGTTTATCCTTGAAAGGCAGGACTGCATAATGCTCTTGGTGGTTGGTGTTTGTTCAATAACATGTTCAGTCTTCCAATTTATTTACTTTCAATTTTGGTTTCATCTCATTTAACCTTCAGAAAACATTTGTGCTATCTGCTGCTTACGAAAGGAAGGCTCCCTCCAGCAGCCCCTTGCTGCATTTATCTCTCGCTGTGGAGCCACAATGTCTGCAGTAAGAAATGTATCCATTTGAAACAGAAGTAATTAAGTTTTTGTTGAAATGTCTTCTGGAACAAAACATTAGCTTTTGCTTTCAAAGGGCACATATTGCCCCAGATAGCACTTCACCTGGCTAAGGACAGTGTTATGTTAAAACATCACTTTCTGCTTGCTCCTGTGAAAAAGCAAGCATATCTGCATTCAAGCACTTCCATTTCTTAATGCATCAAAACAAGGATCTCCCCAGAACTAAAAGTACCATTGTTGTAATTATTCTTTTGTTTTTAAAAAAATGCACTCATCCTACCAGTTTGCTGTGATTTATTCCTTTGAACTTTTTAACTGAAAGATACAACAGCAAAAAAAAATAACTGGGCAGACATTGATATTTGCACACCAGACTCCTGTCTCAAGAGGCATGGGTTCATCCAGCTGTACATTTCTAAACTAAAGCTGAATTTGGCCATCCTGCAGTAATCCCTGGTTGTCCAGCTCAGAAATTTATATGAGATTTGACTAATGTTGTCATCCTGAAAATATGTTGTAACTGTGGCTGTTGGTTTTCAAAGCTGGTGAGTATCAGTGAAATCATAAAGACTCTCATTTTCCCACCATCTGGGAAAAAGCTCAAGGCCAAAAGACGAAGGGTGGAGAAGAAGTGAGTCCCCTGCCCAAGCCTGCAGACTGCCGGTCCCTCTGTGTTGCACAGAGCATGGCCCGGGTCCTTTTAGCACTGTCGAGGTCCTGGCAGGTTGCACAGGAATTTCTAAGTACTGATGGGATAAGTAATAATGGCAATCATTGGTAATAACTCATCAGTCCGATGACTAAGGGCTGTACAATTTCTTAATCTGAACATAATAGGAATGCTCAGTAACTATGCCAGTACACCCTCTGTGTATCTTACATGAAGTATTCTGTTTTCAACAGAAACTAGATACAAGCATTAAGAAACTAATATTATTGTCTTAATTTGAAAAAATAGATGTCTGCTAAGGAAGGCAGGAGCCTCTTTTGAAATGGAAAATGTAAACCCCCCTCCCTCTGAATTATTATAATTTTGAAATCAAGGGGCTCCCAGGCAAAGAGATGGGAATAGTAATAATAGTTATTTATTAGGAAAAAATAAAAATTAAGATGTAGTTATACAAAACAACACTGACAGAGTCAGAATCCAACCTGACAGCCTTTGGGTCAGGATGGTGGCATTAGTCCCATTAAATGGTGGCTACAGTCCTCCTGCAGGTGTGTTTTTGTTGAAGCAGTCCTCCTGTAGAAGGGTGGAGTTTTCCTCTGAAGGTCTAGTGGTGGTGTAGATGGGCCTGGTCTTTCTCTGGCAATCCAGTGGAAAAGAAAGCTGCTCCTCTGGAATGCAGTGGGAAAAGGCTGACTGTGGTGTTCCAAAATCTATGATTATATCCAGGTAGGAATGCTTGGCTCCTCCCCTTAGGCGGAGCATCTCCCAATGGGATGATGGAATTTTATCAGCCATGCAGTGACACTCAATGGCCCATTAACAGAAGATATCTCCTGGAGGGAGGATTGGTTATGGAAGAGATAGAGGAAACTGCCCCATCTCTAACCAATGGCAATAGAATACATACCCCCAGCCACATCTTGCCTTTGCAACCTAAGACAATTATGTATTAGGAAATGTGAAAATACAGATTAAATACCAAATTGTCTCATTTCTCTAATTCCTATCCATGTCTTGTTTTCAGAGTGTGTTTTAAGAATCCTCTATTTATCACATATATTTTGCGAATATATATTTTGCCAAGAGTATTTATCAACATTGTTTTGTCTTTCATTAATGTTAGAGACATAGAAATTGCAGTAACATTATTTGCCATAACTGAAATTTGGAAACACAATTTAAAAACCCTATAGGACATAAAAAGTCAGTCCCTGTAAGAGCTAATACTTTGCTCTGTCTCCCAGATCTGTGACAAGGAGTGGCACTACTACGTGGTCAATGTGGAGTTCCCCGTGGTGACGCTGTACATGGACGGAACAACGTATGAGCCGTACCTGGTGACCAACGACTGGCCCATCCACCCCTCCCACATCGCCATGCAGCTCACAGTGGGGGCTTGCTGGCAAGGTAAAATCACGCCCACTAACAGACAACACTATCAGGAGTTCAGGCCAAGAAAGAATCTTGCTTGTCTCACTGATTTTATAGGCAATAAACTGCTAAAAGATTGATGGTATTAAATCAGGTGTATATCCAGAATTGCTAATGAATCAAGTCCAAGGATGAAATGGACAGGATATTAACAGTGGCTTTGCATTTTTGTCACCTGAAGAAATATTGGCTATAGTTTGTCTATTCAGTGTGAAAGACTGTCTTCTTTATCTTTTGTCTTCACTTCTTTTAGTTGTTTCTCTTGTTTTCCAGCCTTAAGCAAACTATCTAGATACTAAAGAACTCCAGCTATCTCTTTTCAGTCCCTGCCTTTTATTTTTCTTTTACAACTCATGGCCTAGTCCTGGGCTCTTCATGCTGGATGTATCTCACCAGCAATTCCAGTAATTTATTTGATTCACACACTTACTTTTACCACTGCTGTACACCAGTGGTAAAAGTGAGAGTAAAATAAATCTCAAAGTCCAAACTCTTGAGCCATATGGGGATTTGCTTAAATATTACCTTTCTCTGTTTTCTACCCTTTATAATCCAATTCTTCTCATTCTTTTTACCTGGTCCTTACACCAATTTATTTCTCTGTTTTCTGCCTTATACCTGAAATACTCCTTTTTCTCTGTTTATCTGCTTTTATAAATTTGTCTCCATTACCCTTCCATGTTGATTTTCTACTTACGCTGTCTTTTTTCCACTTAAAAAATGAATTTAAGAAAACTGTAATTAGGAAAAAAATGCTTTAAGGTAGATTGTATCTCTTCCCCACTCTTTCATGTAGTCTCACTTTCTCCATTATCACCTTGTTTACCAATTTGATCTCTGCTTATTTGCAAAATTTGGACATCTTATTCATGGCAGGGATGTTCAATGTAAATAGTACTTGAAGCAAATTCAGCTGTTAGATTATGAGTGGGGTAAAGATCTAATCTTTACTTTGATGGCAACATGCAGAAATGAAGCTGCACTAACCCTAAAAAAATTTAGTAAGTTGACAATATTAATAATTATTGGAGGTGTGATAAGCTGGTCAGCATTGCACTAATCCCTGATACTTGGAAAAGTATAGACTGTTTCTTGTCTAGCTGGTGTTTGCATGTGTTCATTTTTTTGTTATGCAATATTGGTGCAGTACTTTTAGATCAAAGTTCCAGAGTTAGAAAATGCTAATGTCATTGTAAATTTAGTTCTTTTCAGACATGAGTAAATGCCATAAAGGCTGTGAATAATCATGGAGTACTGCCTTCTGAAAAATCACGCTTTCTCTGTAGCTGTGCTAAAAAATTCATTTTAATCCCTTACTTCATATTTATACAAGGTTTTCTGCATAGGTCAACATAAATGTTTTTGTGCATTATTGTATTACTTCTGCCCCTTATCTTCTTTCATCCACACTTAGTGTTTTTGTTACTCTCTAAAAGCAATCTTTAGTGTTTTGGGGTTTTTGTCCTAGAAGTCTTTGTATTGCTGGGAATCCACTCCCTTCAGCCCTCACCCGAATTTCACGTTAATCATGCTGCAAATGCCACGTCTGGGGGCCTGTGGAGCAGTTTACAGTTCCACAGCTCGTTCTGTGAAACAACCCCTGCCTAAGCAAAAGCTGTGCCAGCTTTGCCACAGCCCTGCATCCATGGGGTTCATCTGCCCCCAAGGCAGCTGAGAACAACAACAATAATCTTGCTCCCTCTGCACCTCTGTCTCCTTGTCTCAAATTGGGAAGAGAAGGAATTAGGCTCATATAGCCTCTGAATACAATCTAGCCACAGACTATATTTCATATTTAAGCTGTTAAAAAAATAAAAAGTGGCAATTGTTTTAAAACATTTTTATTTTTGCCTGGGATAATTTGGTGGCTTAATAATAGCAATTCAGGATAAGATTCTTCTTCCTTTTTGGTGAAACACCTGATTTACACTACTGAAATCTTACCTATAGCTGCCATTAATATTTACTGCAATATTAGGTTATTGCACTTTTCATAGTGAGAAAATTTGAGCTCCTCAAAAGTAGAAACAAATTTTCCACCTCATTAAAATGCTAAAATTTAGTAGTACAGTGTGCTGAAGATTCTGATAAGCTATCATGTGTCAGGCAAAAAGATAAACTTTTAATGATTGTGTGAAACAAGATTTCAAGATACTGCTTTTGACAAAGCTTATCATTTGGTACATTTGTTTTGTTCACCTCAAACTATTTTAAATGAATGGTGTGTAAAGTCACCTTGTTAATAAGATTCGGCACTGTATTTCAGTATGTAAAATAGTAATTAATTAACATAGAAAGCAAATCTATTATAGTCAAAGCAATAATTTTCAAGGTTTGTATATTTCAAGAAAAAGAGGCTCTATCAAATAAATATTTTAACTATATATACTTTCTGTGAAGCTGTTACTAAGTCTACTTTAGTCAGTAGCAATAGTCTAAACCTCTACATTTTCACATTATAAAGCTGCTTTACAACATTCTGTGGTTTATTTCAGTAAAATATATGCTGATTTTGGTGCCATAAGCCATTCAGGAGTCTTCTTGTTAAGAGGATATGAAGAATTTCCAGCTCTAGTTTGCTAAGACTACTTCCTTTCTTTTCATCAAAGCACTGGCAGAAAGTGTTAGCATCAGGGGCACACATAATCACGGGATATGATTATATGCAGGTGCTTTTATTAATAGCTCTGGGAATCAGGGGTACAAACCCAAATCTGACTCTGACATGGCTTTTGAGCTGAACGTATTTTATAATTCTATTGTTATATAACTTACATATTAATTATTAAACATATATTGTTTTATTGTATACATTGGCATGAGTTTCTCGTGATCTTTTTTAGGTCCTTGACCACAGTTTCTCACTATTATTCTTATGATTAAACAGTAATTATATTTAATTACTAAACAATCATCACATCTAACAATTATATCATTTATCATGTACTAGCTACACAGGTGCAGTTCTAGTAAAGTACAAGGTCTTCATGTACTTAGGGTATTTATTTTTCTTTTCAGGGCCTACTAAGCTTTATTTGCCTTTTAACCCTAAATCCTGCTGATTTTAAACCCTTTTACTATTAAAGGAACACTGCTCTTACCTCTTCCTTCAGAAAGGGCAAGACCTTCTTTCCTGTCTTTACTAAACCACTTACAGTTCTGAGTACACAGCATCTGTTTGTCAAAGTCAAATTATTTGAAAAACAGTCTCAACTCAGACAGGTAAATGAATCAGAAGAAATAACATTCCTTTTTTCTTCACACCCTGACTCTGATTTGCTGACAGCCAAAAGTCATTGTGGCTGTGGGGCAACTGAAGGACTGGCATGGGAGCAGGAGGAGTGTATTTAAAGGACAGTGAAAAATCAAGAACAAAAATTGCAATTTGCTCTGTTAGCACTAATAGGAAAATCTACTACTGCTATGAGGTATTTACCCTCTTGTAGATGAAAATGTTCAGCTCTGGTCTGGAAACTGGAATTGTTCTGCTGCTTCTTTAGGAGCCTGAGTGTCCTCTGGGACACAAGTCACTCCTTGAGCCCTGATTTTTCCACCACTTACACTGGTCCTTATCCTGGGGCTCAGCAGCAAGCACCATGTCTGCACCTCCACCTTGTCTTTCTCAGAGTTGTAGCCTAAAGGGATCTTGGACATGAAAAATTCTTTTCTTTAAAATTATTATTGCCTATTATTAATATTTCAATGCCTGAGTAACTGCTTTCTGACTTTTATAGCCTTGTTTATAGCACTCATTATGAAAAGTTAGGTTGTTTTTTATTTCTAACTTCAGCTGATCAAGTGAAATATAAGAGCAGTTTAAGATCAGTGCTGTTCTCCTGACAATGAAAACAAACTGAATGTGCTATTCTTCAGGCTTATGTGACAAATTCAAATTTTAGCCTATGGTGTGCTCACTTGGTTTGTCTGTGGCATAAGCAAATATCTCCTACATCTTTACCCTTTACATCAGGCAATGTAAAAATCTTGCCTGATTTGTTTGTTCCTGATTTTATGCAGAATTTCTTAAAATAATGTGAGTTGAGTTATAGGATTCTCCAAGAAGTAGGGAAAATTAGCCTTTTTCCTGAAGGGCAGATTCTTGGAGGCAAGCAGGGAGTGAAGATGGTTGAAACAGCAGAAAGCCAGCCTTTAAAAGTGATGGAAAAGACCCTTCCTAGGGTCTGTCAGGCACTGGGTCAAGTTTACTGCAGCCCAGGAAATGGCCCAATTACATAAAACCAAGCCTGGGGAATGGTTCCCAGTTCTAATGACTCTGCACACGAAGAAAGCTGCATGATTTGTACTGGCATAATCATATGAACTTTATCTACTACGAAAAATCAGGTATACTGTATATTACTGTGATATAATTTTCCTTTTTTAATCTAAAACCCTTGGTTCTTTCTTCAGGGGTCTTACTAAAAGGAAGATCTAAGCAGAGCTACCTCATTGATTTAGGGTCCTTCACAGTGGTTAGCCTAGAGTGAATTATTTTTTTGTGCAGTTGATGTTAAGTACTGCTATACTTGAGTTGGGGTGGTTTATTAGAGGGTAGGCGTTTAAGCATTATCTTTAAGCTGAAGTTATGTTGGTTTGGCTACATGTCACCCAGGAGAATTGACAGGTAGCACCTAAGCACAGCAAAGTGCCAGCCTTCATGCATGGCACATCCCAATTTACTCCTTAGCTGGGATTTCAGTGATGTGAGGCCTGGGAAAAGATAAGGCTGACCACAGAGCTAACTGGATTCCTAGTGAGGGCAGAAACAGACACCTGGTACAGCCATTCCTGGAATTAGCCCTTTCTGTACCCTCATGAATTTTGACAGCTTTCTCTGCAGGTACACATGGTTAATTATATAACTTAACATCTTTAAAAATTTGTTCACATTACTGGTGTCATTGATGATTATCAAGGGTGTGATTTTGATGTAGGTCAGGTTATTTAAGGTCAAAGTGCAGCTCTTTCACTAACGG